TCCTTAGGGGGTCTCAGGAGCCCCTTTTGCGACCTTCCGGCGAGCAAAGTCAATGGGGAAGCCAGATTCATTCAACCAGCGGGTGACTAATTAAATAGCGGCCACGATTCGCTCGACCAAGGCGGCAAGAAAAGTCATAAAATGGGGCGAAACACTCTAAACCAGTGTTTCTCAACCTTGGCAACTTGAAGATGTCCAGACTTCAACTCCCAGAATTCCCCAGCCAGCATTCGCTGGCTGGGGAATTCTGGAAATTGAAGTCCCGACATCTTCAAGTTGCCAAGGTTGAGAAACACTGCTCTAAACAAATGTCTCGCTTAACAGAAGTTTTAGACTCCGACATGGTCACGAGTCGAGGACTCTCCGTACTTAAAAAATCTGACTCCATTTTAACGTACTTATTATTTTGATATTTTTCTTCGTATCTTTAGTTGCTTGGAAGTCTCCTACCAATAACAATAGCACTTAGACTTATATACCTCTTCACGGTTCTTTCCAGCGCTCTCTAAACGGTTTACAGAGTCAGCCTCTTGCCCCCCCAACAATATGGGTCCTCATTTTACCCACCTCGGAAGGACGGAAGGCTGAGTTCAACCTTGAGCCTGGGGAGATTCGAACTGCCGAATTGCAGTCAGCTGGCAGTCAGCAGAAGTAGCCTGCAGTACTGCATTCTAACCACTGCGCCTCCGTGGCTTTTCTAGACACATCCGTTGGCCAAATGGGCAGCGGACAAATTTAATACATAAAATAAATCTGCCAGCTGTTCAAAACTCAGGAGCCACAAAACTTGCCGCAGGCATTAAGGGGAGCTGAATCCGAGGAGACTCCTTACCTGATCGCTGAAGGGTAAAGTGCAGTTGATATCCAAACGATCCTCTCCTTCCAGCTTCAGAAGGGAATTTCCAAGGAGTTTCTGTGCAGGGAGGGAGAAGGGAAAGAAGAGGTAGATGAAAGAGATCCACTTCGTAAAGGTAAAAGGTTCCCCTTGCACGTATGTGCTAGTTGTTCCTCACTCTAGAGGGCGGTGCTCATCTCCGTTTCAAAGCCGAAGAGCCAGCACTGTCCGAAGATGTCTCCGGGGTCATTCTGCCCCCCCCAACAATCTGGGCCTCCTCATTTTACCGATCTCGGAAGGACGGAAGGCTGAGTCAACCGTGAGCCGGTGTGGATCGAACTGTCGGCAGTCAGCTAAAATAGCCCGCAGTTCTGCATTCTAACCACTGCTCCACCGTGACTCATAATAAAATAAATACATTCTATAGAATTTATTGGGGGGGGGGGAAGAATAACTAAGCGAAGGTAGCAATGTCAAATTATGAATCTTTAGTTCTTGACAGGTGTTTTGTCCTTATTTGCAATGGCACGACATTTTGCTACGGGGACGAACGGCGGCTGGATCTGAATCCCGAAGCAGATGGCTAATGTAGACATATTTGCTCTCCCCCGGAATCTCTCTAATAGAGGGAGAATGTACATTGATCTGGTGTCGACTCGCAGCTCGAAAGGACCTGTGGGATATCTTCAGGTTCCCCATTGCCACATGTACACACTCGCTTAGCTATTGCCTGGCAGGGATTCGAGCTTTACGAGCTGCGAGTCGGCATCCGATCAATGTACATTCTCTCTCTATTAGAGAGATTCTGAGGGAGAGCAAATATGTCTACATTAGCCATCTGCTTCGGGATTCAGATCCAGCCGCCGTTCGTCCCATATATATATAAATATATATATAGCCAGCCAGACTTAATATCCTCCCCTCGCATCCCTGCGAGGTTGTGTGTGTGTGTGTGTGTGTGTGTGTAAGCCAGGGCTTCCAGATACCTTGCTGGTTCCCACACACCCCGATTTAATCCAATTTCTGCTGCTAATGTTCTAGCTGGAACTCCAGGTCTCTCATTAGCCCAGGTTAATAAGCAGCAACGGCCTGTGGGAAATCTCCAGATGTACCTGGGAGACCTTTTGGAAATTATTTCTGTTTTTTAGTGCTTGGAGAGGGAACGTAAAAGCTACAGATGTTCAGTTATTTTTTTTTCTTAAGCCTGTTGAGAGATGAAGGCTCTACTAGAAGCTGAAGGATTATACGCACCGCTGGACTTCCAGAAAGGCTTTTCTTTTTTCCCCCCTTTTTTAATTATGTATCTATATCTATATAGATATATTCCTTTCTCCTTCCCTTCCCTCCCCCTTTTCTCTCTGTCCCATTCTCCCCCCTTTCTCCTTCCTTTCTTCCTTTTTCCTCCACATCTCTCCTCCTACTTTTCCCCTTCCCTCCCTCTTCCTTTTTTTCTCCCTCCCTCTCTCTCTTTTTTAAATTTTCTTTCTCTCTTTCCATTTCTCTCTTTCCTTCCCACTTCTTTCTCTCTCCTTTTTCTGTGTCTCTCCATTTCTCCTTCCTCTACCTCCCCCTTTTCTCTCTCTCCCTTTCTCCTTCCTTCCTTCATTCCTTTTTTCTCCCCAACTCTCCCCCTTCCTTTCTTTCTCCCTCTCCCTTTTCTTTTTATTTTCTTTCTCTCTCTCCCCCTCCTCCTCCTCCCTCCCTCCCTTTCTCTCTCTCTTTCCTTTCCCCTTTCTCTCTCTCTTTTTTCTGTATCTCTCAATTTCTCCTTCCTCTCCCTCCCCCTTTTCTCTCTCTCCCTTTTTCGCCTTCTCCTTCCTTCCACCCTTCCTTCCTTCCTTTCTCCCTCTCCCCCTTTTCTTTTTATTTTCTTTCTCTCTCTCCCTCCTTCCTCTCCCTCCCTCCCTTTCTCTCTCTCTTTCCTTTCCCCTTGTTTCTGCCTCTCCCTTTTCTCTCGCTCTCTGTCTCCTTCCTCCCCCTTTTTTCTTTCCCTTTCTGTCGTCATCTTTTTCCCTTTCTCCTTCCTCTCTCCCTCTTTCTCTCCCCCCCCCCCTACTTACAGCATCAGCTTCTGCCTTTTCTCTGGAAACTCTTCCTCCAGCCACCGTAGATTCTAGGGCATTCACCCAACGCTGCTTATCGGGAAAAGTAGGTGCCAGCAAATAGAGAGTCCGGCCAGGCCAACAGGTGGTGTGGGGATGAGATTCCAGCTTCAGTATATAGGGCACATCTATGGGGTGAGCGATAAGGGCATACAAGAGACAAACTGGATTAGGGGAGACTCAGCCTCTCCTTCGCTGGCTCCTTTCTCTGCTTGTAGAGCAGAAAAACACCAAACAAGAGGTTGAAAGGTTTAACCTTAAGACGTTTAACATGAGTAGACAAATATCAGCATTAATTGCCCCAACCCAAAGCACCAAGGACCGCACAGTCCTCCTCCTCGCACTGATGATGTTACCTAGTTGGGCAATGACATTTCTGCCAGATCAGAGAGCACCAAAAACATCAACCCTGATGTCAGGCCTGCAGCCGTCTTTTCTTTCGGATCTTTGGCCTGCCACACTTTCTATTATTCTACTGTGCTTTTTCTATTGTGGGAAAATGGGATTGTACGGAGTTAGACGCGATGTAGCCATAACAACATTCTTTCTAGAAAGCCAAGGTCATCC